AGAATCAACAGAGTGAGTTCCAGAACAGCCAGGGCTACAAAGAGAAACCCTATCAAAAATAATATTAATTAATTAATTAAATACAATCCCAATAGTTATTTGAGTGTATGAGCATGTGCATATGCCATGACATGCATGCAGAGGTTAAAAGACTTTGTTCAAGGCTGCTCTCTTTTCCACCATGTGGGTCCTAAGATCAGACTCAGGTCTTCAGGCTTAGTGGGCGCCTTAACCCACAAACCCACATCAGCAGCCCAAAAGAGGAGAGCATTAAGGTCTCCCCAACTCTCCAACCTCCTCATTAGAGTCTGAGTCCTCCTACAGCATGCTTACTACCCAGAGACAAGACACTACTAACCTCTAAAATGATGAGGGGAGCCTCATTATCCTGCATGTGTGGCCAGACCAGATACAGATCCCTGACTTCCAGAGTTGTCAGCTCTGTCCCTGATTCAGGCTGCCTTAAAACCACCACCATAGTCCGTGTTTCATATCCCTCCCCTATGGGAACACATGAGCCGACAGCACCAGAAATGTGGTCCTCTGTCAGTGTTGACTTTCATAATTTGTTGGGCCCCTCAGCTAATTAGTTGATGCTAATCCCAAAGATGAGTTGACAGATCAAGCCACCCTGGGGCCAAGGAGGCATGCCCTTGGGGATCTGTGGTCCTATGGAAGGCAAGGCAGGTAGAAGCAGCTTTCCCCAAGTCAGCACAGCCTTCCTGTCCCCAACTCAGTGCCCTCCATCACACACTGATCACCAACTATGCATGATGCTAGGACTTTACCTGTACCATCTCAGCTAACCCCAGGCAGTGGCATCAGAGGCAGGAGCTGTCCCCTACTGCTTTCAGATGAAGATACTGAGGTCAGTGTTTAGCCACTGTCACCCATGTAGTAAGGACCTTCTAATGACTACTAATTTGATCCCGATTCCCAACTCTTATTTCTTCACAAATGGTAGTGTTTCATTAGTCACAGGGAGGGCTTGGTGAATTAGGGAGTGAGCTCCTTCTGATGCTGGCTCTCTAGGATGCAAGCCCCAAGGCTGCCTATGGCCAAGGTTCCATCCTCCAGGGACAGCCAACAAAAAAAAGACGGGGCCCCAAAGAGGGGGTGCCCTTGTGTATGTGTGTGCTCTCATGCACGAAAAGTGTTCATGTGTCCCATGGCAGGCTGCCTCAGACCATATGAACTGGCACCTTCTCTTTTGCTGGGGCTGCTAAACTCATACTGATTGACACTAAAATAAAGGAGTTCTGGATAGCACAGAGCTCAAGCCTGGGTCTTAACCACTTACTATTCTGATTACAATATATATTACTTTAATAAGCCAGCTGGCATTTGAGGTCAAACTAGAAAAGGATCAGTATAGCCAGGAACAATATGCAGAACCTACAGAAAGGAGGCAGCTATAAGGCAGAAGGGCACTTTTAGCCAGGAAGAAAAGCTGCATGTGAGCAAGAGGAAAGGCCTGAGGCAGGAGGAGAAGGCACTGCAGAAATCACAGGCCTATGAGGGACAAAAAGGTAGGGGCTAGCCAGGCCTAAGACAGGGCAGACATTCCCGTTAGCTATGCAGATTGCTCAGAGTTCAGCAATAGTGCCCCAATAGAGTCCCTGTTGTTTCTTCCTCTTTATGGTCATCAGGACAGGCCTCAAACAAGCAGTGAGTAATGAAGGATTTGGAGGGAGGAGGCGAGTGCCCTCAGTGTTTTATTCTGAAACCTCCAACTCAGACAGAGGTGTGATGTTTAGTATAAAGAATAATGAGGGAGGCACTTGGTGCATGCCTCTAGAATTTACTGGTTTACACTAGAGGCTCAGTAGCAATTTCTTCCTCTGCTCCATCCATGGGAACCCTGACATATTCCAGACTAGCTTAGTAGGACAGGTGGGGAAAACAAGTAGCAACAGAGAAGATACCAGCTTGGGAATCCAGGCTGATAAGCACGGATTTTCAGAATCCCCACTCTGCTCTGCAGGGGGTGTGTGTGTGTGTGTGTGTGTGTGTGTGTGTGTGTGTGTGTGTGTTTTCCTCACCCTAGTAAAAGCCTTGCTTTACCAGCAGTAAGTAAACAGAAGACTGATAAATATCTGAAAGGTTTTCTTCTGTTGGGGCTCTGACTATGAAGGCAGATCACACAGGGTGTAAAGGTATCTCCCCTCAATACCCAAGTTCTGTCCTAAGGATAAGTGACCTCAAGTTTGTCCCAAATTCCTGATTCCAGACTTCCTAGGCTGAGCTCCCCAGGCCATGCTGGCCCTAGGTCCCCGTCAGGAGCAATGATGGGCAGAACTGAGGACAGTGGTGAAAGCACAATGCCAGGTAACCTGAAGCAAGCCCAGCCCTTGTTCCTGTTCCCCTCCACAGCTTGCTGAGTCTACCCCTTGGGGAAACTGACACCAGACAGCTGGGAAGCCAGTATCACACAGCAGCATCTGCAACCCTGGGCAGCCTGCTTGTTTGAAGAATAGGAGGAGACCGACTCCGGGTTCTTAATAAAGGATGGTGAAATACGTACGGGACATGATAAGACTGAGGCATTTTAATGAAAAATGAGGAAATGCCAACAATGGCAAGGAGAAAAGGAAAACTAACCAAGAGTCACGTATTGTGGCACACATCTTTTATCCCAGCACTTAGGAGGACGAGGCAGGTGGATCTCTGTGAGTTCCAGGCCAGCCTGGTCTACAGAGTGAGTTCCAGGACAGCTAGAGCTACATAATAAAGACCCTGTCTCTAAACAACAGAAAACAAACAAACAGCGTAAATATTATAAACACTGTATACTGACTTCCAATGTTTAGAAGTAAACCACAGATAACATATAGGAAACAGCTGTGACAGCCCGAATGTGGAAGATAATTTTAACCTGGGTGCTGTGGGCAACATAGGGCATAGTAGAGGTGCTTACTGAATGCCTTCTGAATTTGGGGACTGTTTCTGGTCAGTAAAACAGTCTGAGCCTCAGTCTGCTCAGGCTCCTTAGCCTGCTCTGGACCTATTTCGTTATCAGTGGAGATGATGAAGTAACTAACACTTAGAGGAGTAAATGGACTGTCAATTGACACGTTGCTCAATAGTGTGCCTACAGGCAAATCTGTCCCAGTGCAAACATGATAGAGCAGATATGCAATCTAAGATGATTACTGTGTTACTAAGTCACAGAAATCTTACAGGATGGCCACCAGGTAGAAAGAAATATTACCAGGCACCGGACTGCACATAACTCAGAAAATTGGCTTCCAAGTCAAAAGGCAAACAGTCCATAAATACTTCAGGAACAATGCAAGAGCTAACTTCAGCCCAGCCTCCCAAACTTCTCCCACCATCCCAAATCACACCAGGAACTTTCTAAAATTCACGTAGAACATACTAGTGCTCAAAACTCTTCCATGGTTCTTTGGTACTATAAAAATGGGTATACCTTTTTTAACAGATCATTTAAATGAGGAAAGTAAGGGGCCTACTGCTCAAGAGGTGAGTAGCTTCCTTTTCAGGACTGTTCCCATCCAGAGTATCTCTCTCCTTAAACTTAAGATTCTAGGGCTTTCTGGCCTAACTCTGGGGCATTTAGGGCACCTCGAAGTCGCTCCAGCCCCCTGTCATTTTCTCTTACAGCTGTGGCTTATCCAGCACCAGTACACTCCTTGCCTTTCCTCATTCTTCCACTGGCTAACGTGTCCAGTTTCTGAGGTGCTGGGCATTGAACCCAGGACTTCCGGTGTACTATGCAGATACTACCGACTAAACTACTCCCCCAGCCCCCCTCCCCCAAAACCTGCCTCTACCTCCTGAGTGCTGGGATTAAAGACAGCCACCATGCCCAGCCAAACAAGCCTAAGTGTCCTCTGCAGAGTCCTGTACTGCTCAACTCCTCCAGAAAGTCCTCCAGGATTAGATGTCACCTGTGTGGGCGCCGACTTTCCTGTTTCCCACCTGGTACAGTGCTTAATCAACACGGGTGACACGCAGGGAAAGCTTTTACGGCCAATGAAGGGGATGGAGGCCGACTGGAGGTTTCGAAATATCAAAGGGCGGGTTTTGTGCCTCCGGCTCTGCCCCGCCCAGCCTGATAAACCCCAAACATCACCCCTTCATTCAGAATGGGAGCCTGACACTTCCCGCTGTCCCCAGTTACCGGCTCACTTTCCTGGGCCCCCAAGCCTCCTGAGTCAGAGCAGAGTCACAGTCCTGCCCAGAGCAGGAGGCTTCCGCAAACTTGGAAGTGGCGCGGGGGACTCAGCAGAGCTGGCCAGGGCGACCTCGGAGCAGCTGGCTCCCGCGATTCCCCGGACCCTAGCGAGGTTTCTCAAACTCTGGGGCCCCGCGCGGCCTTCCGTCCCCGCTCCGC